AATGATTTAAAAGGCGAACAAAAACCCAAACTTTTACTTTCAAAATAGTTTTGTTCGCCCGTCGTTCCGACAACGTGTGTGTGTGTGAGCCTGTGCATGCTGCTTGTCATTCGTTTTGTTCTGTGACTAGTGGCATGTTAAAAAAGTCCTTTTTTGTTCATTTTGTGGCTGACACAATTGGGGTTATTTTGTAGCACTGCGCTCTGTTGTCGTGTCGTGGACGGTCGTCCGTCCGTCCGTCCATCTCATATAACGGCTAACACACGGCTTTTTGGTTTGATAATGGTTTTGGGGCTTTTGAGTGCCGTTTTTTGTTTGCAGTAGTAAATAACAATTAAAGTTTTTCATTTTCGTTGTTGTTGGTGTTTTCTGTTGCACTTTAATAATGATAAACAACTGTTTTGTTGGCTGGTTGGTCGGTTGGTTGGTGAGTATGGTGGAATGTGTGTTCACGTCTGATTTATTAATGAATAACTTCAGTTTTTCTACGGTAGACTCGCCTCCCCTTCCCAAAAGAGGGTCAATTTATTCGCCATTATTGTCTAGTAGGTCTCCTACGGGAATATGTGAATGAGAGAAAGCCATAGCATGCAATGGACACACCAGATGCGAAATAATTGCCATGGAATTCCGCGAAATGTGATTAAATGGAAAACACATTTAATGGTACCTTAAGCTATTAGCATATCTCCTGGTAGGATCTTGGTCAAGGGTGTAACATTTTTTTTATACCCTACACCACATAGTGGTAAGGGTATTATGTCTTTGTGCATTTGTTTGTAACATGGAGAAAGAAACGAGATAGACCCATAGTTACTTTTGAGAACCTTCATAGAATCACTTTCTGAGTCGATTTATTCATGTCAGTCCGTCTGTCCGTCCGTCTGTCCATGTATTCTTGTGAACAAAATGCAGTTCGCATTTATTATCCGATTGAGACGAAATTTTATAACCAATATTTTTTTGGCCCAAGGACGAACCCTATTGAAATTGGTGAGAATCGGATCAAATTTAGATATAGCTCCCATATATATCTTCATCCGACTACGGGTTAAATGTGCACCAAATGTCCACTATCAGTCCAAATTACCTGAATTTTGGCACACCCAACCGAGATCGGCCTAGAAGCAAGTATATCAAATTTGGAAATCGGTTCAGATACAGCTATAGCTCCCATATATATATCTTTCATCCGATTTGATCTTTAAGTCCCTCACATTCCAACTATGCACTCCACAACCGTGATATTTGGTACCAGGTATTAGATGGTGCACAGAAATACCTATTTTAAATTTTATCGAAATCGGTTCAGATTTGGATATAGCTCCCATATATATCTTCATCCGATTTCGGGTTAATTGACCACCAAATGGCCAATATCAGCCCAAATGGCCCGAATTTTGGCACATGTGACCGAGATTAGCCTTAAAGCAAATACAACAAATTTGGAGAAAATCGGTTCAGAAACAGCTATAGCTCTCATATATATGTTTTATCCGATTTGGTGTTTAAGTCTCTCACATTCGTAATATGCACTCCACAAGAATGATATTTGGTACCAGATATAAGATACAGCCCAGAAATAGCTGTTTGTAATTTTTTCGAAATCGGTTCAGATTTGGATATAGCTCCCATATATATCTTTATCCGATTTCGGGTTAATTGTGCACCAAATGGCCGATATAAGTCCAAATGGACTGAATTTTAGTACATCGGACCAAATTCAGCCTAGAAGCAAGTATATCAAATTTAGTGAAAATCGGTTCAGATATAGATATAGCAACCATATATATGTTTCATCCGATGTAGTGTTTTAGTCCCTTACATTTGTATTATTCACTCCACAACTGTGATATTTGGTACCAGGTATTAGATGGAGAACAGGAATAGCTGTTTTAAATTTTATCGAAATCGGTTCAGATGTGGATATAGCTCCCATATATATCTTCATCCGATTTCGGGTGATAAACCACCAAATGGCCGTAATAGCATCAATTTTGGCAAATCCGAGCGAAACCAGCCTATAAGCAAGTACAAAAATTTTAGTAAAAATCGGTTCAGATATAGCTCTAGCTCCCATATATATGTTTCATCCGATTTGCTCTTTAAGTCCCTTACATTCGTAATATACTCTTCACAGGAATGATATTTGGTACCAGATATCAGATAAAGCCCAAAAATAGTCGATTTTAATTTTATCGAAATCTGTTCAGATTTGGATATAGCATAGCATAGCATACTCTTCACATTATTCTATCGATTTCAGGTTAACTGTGCACTAAATGTTCAATATCAGCCCAAATCACCTGAATTGATGTCGAAGTGATGTCGAATTAAATATTTCGAAATCATTAAAAATGCATATAAACGATTTCTGCGAAAGAAACATAAAATGACAGCGAGCTATTGAAGACCCATCGAAGGTCTTATATCTACAAGTTACTAATTAAAGATATTCAAAGAATCTAAAGAATATTCTATTCGCACAAACAGAATATTATGAATATAATGAAAATATTCGAAATAAACCATAGAAGGAAATCAGTTTGAAGAAAACCAAAAAAATATTTTATACATAAACAAATGAGCAAAGGCTATAGCCGTGCAGGGCCGACCATAGATAGTTTTCTATCTTCAAAAGTCCTATAGAAGTTGTAATCATGAGGAATATTCACAGAAGGTGTTTTATAAATAGGTTTTTATACCCTACACCACATAGTGGTAAGGGTATTATGTCTTTCTGCATTTATTTGTAACATGGAATAGGAACCCTATTTAAATTGGTGAGAATCGGTTCACAATTCAATATAGCTCAATATATCCAACCGATTTCGGGTTAATTGTGCACCAAATGGCCAATATCAATTCAAATGACCGAAATAAGTCTAGAAGCAAGTACATCAAATTTAATTTTGTTGTTTCAGCCGTTTTGGGGTTTTAAGACCCTCACATGCGTAATCAGATTCGGATATAGCTCCCATATATATCTTTATAAGATATCAGGTTTTTTGAGCACCAAATGTCTAATATCAGCCCAAATTTTCTTACTTTCGGAAATTATGAATGAATTCGTCACAGAAACAAGTAATTCAAAAATCGGTTCAGATGTATGTTTCATCCGATTTGGGATTTTAAAACCCTCACATGCGTAATATGTACTCCACAACAATGATTTTTGGTACCAGATAACTAATGGAGCTCAAAATTACCTTTGTCAAATGTTATCGAGATCGGATCAGACTAGAATATAGCTCCCATATATATCATTATTCAATATCAGGTTTGCTGTGCACCAAATGACCAATATCAGCCCAAATGGACTGAATTTTCGTACATCCGACGGAATCAGATATAGCTATAGCTCCTATATATATGTTTCATTCGATTTGGTGTTAAAATCACTCACATGTGATAAATTTGCCCTCCACAACAATGATATTTCATACAGAACATCATACAGAACATTTCATAGCTTCGATATACATCTTCATCCGATGTACGGGAATTGCTCACCATATATGTAATATCAGAGCAAATTGAATAGATTTTTTCATATTCAACCAAATTCGCGCCAGACATTGGGTCTGGACTCTTACATCACATTTTATAAGAGTTAAAATTATTGAAAATTTTGTCCCCTTGTGGGGGAGGTACTTGATGGAGTGGACCGATATTGTAAATTTTCGATACCAATATTAAATTTTTATTGATAATAGGTATTAGTTCATAGTTCATACAATTTTATCCACTCTTTAGTTCACATTTCCAAGCCCCCAGTCCGACCCCATCCTTATACTTGTAGTTCCATTAGAATCCACATAGTTCGACTTTCCAAACATTTGAGGGTTTCAAAAAGTACCATTTTTATCCCATATATTATATAGTTATAGATCAGCTCCATCTCTTTCGTCTGGACCACCCAGTGATACACTGGTTTTGACCACACAGTGATACACTGTGGAAATTTATGATGCAAAAAAAATCCTTTGGGAATAATTGCTTTTTCTGAGTTTATTAAAAAATTCCAAAAGGGACATTTCATCAACGATAAAGTTTCTAAGTTTTTGGGGAATAGAGTTTTCAAAATGTCAGCATATAATATTTCAGAAAATAGATTCATATATCTTGACCCGCTTAATGCCGAATTTAATATTCCCCAATTATATGATTATAAAAAATCTGGTAATCTGTGATTATGTTTTCACTAAATCACAGTCACTGTCAGATTTCGTCCTTTAACTTTCGATTCTAAAGATTGGCACACATAGATAACTTTCCCTTATCTGTCATATTTATGGTTACATATGCACATACATTTAAAATCAATGACCCAATGACCACCATCATATTATCGTTATTATCATTGGCAGGATATCAATACCGGTCATTAAATTTTAAAAGCATTTTTACGAATGTGTGTGGCAAAGCCAAGACGAGCAAAAAATACCATAAATATTTTCAAATAAACCAAAAAAAAATGGCTTTTGATTTAAAGGTAAAAAGCCACCAACAATTCCGCATGGAAAACAAGAAAAGTGGGTTGATGGCATGGTGATATGATAGCAATTTATCAAAAAAGAAAACGGGGAATACTTCAACCTCAGCCATGAAAGAAATAGAATGAGAGATCAATTCAAGAGCTGTACAAATATTTGAATTTCTAAAATTACATGGAAACCGTAGACGAAGAGGTATGGTAGGGTGGGGGCCAAGGGAAAACAATAATTCCTGGAAATGGGGCATTCTCGTTATATTTGGTTCACAAGCAATTTGGGTTAGGGTGGAGGAAAAGTCATTGTATATATTATCCAACAAGGTGTGTGTAGTACACTTGTTCAGTTATTGTTGTGGTTGTTTTTGTAGTATTTCTTATTTGGTATTGGTAATGATGATTGTTGTTATTATCAGTTGTATTTCCTTTTAACCCCAATCATTTGCATTTGTCTCCTCCCTTATTCCTTTCCCATCTTTTTGTTTATTTTTTTTTTTTTGTGACTTACCTTAATTTTCATTACGTAATTGGAGGGCACAAAGCCAATATTGCCCTTCATGCTGACCACTTGCCACCAGTTCCTTTGTCTTGCCGAGGTCTGATATAAAATAAAATATTCACCCTCATCGAAGCTAATCGTCTTGGGATAGGCGGCTTGAAAATCATATAAAGCTTTAAGCATTTCGATGTTATCTGCAATGTAGGAAAAACAAACCACACACACAAACACATTAATACTTATTTTTATTATTAATTTGTTTTTTATTTTAAAAATTATAATTTTTATTTTTTAATTATTTATTTCAAGGTTCTGTTTTTCTTTTTCGTTTTTGCCCAAATATTTTTTACCCGAAAAAATATATTGTGTCAAATAAACAACACCCAGAGTCAACTGCACCAGCCAACTCAATTACAGAGAGAGACAGCAGCTGACTTATCAACGCGATAGAAAAATTGCAACTACTGAGGAACAACGAACGCACTGCGAGACCAGCTGGGGAGTGTTTACACACGACCAGGACAACGACGTGCCAACAACGGCATTGGTTTTGCTGACGTTAACGTCGGTGACTGGCTGAAGCAGTCGTCAGTAGCAGCAATCCTTGCAAGGATATGCGGTAACAATTGTCAAAATAAAATACTACTACAACTACTAAAGGAAAACAAGAGCAATAACAGGAAGAAGAAGACATCAGAGAGAATAGAACAATAATGACAACAACAACATCAGTCAGTAGTTATGGCATACATTGAAAATAGTTGACGTTGAATGAGCAAGGCAAAGGATAATCACAAGTGTAACGAAAAGGAAATCAAAGAGAATGCCAACAAAAACACACAAAACCGACCCAGGCTCAGTTCAGCTCAGCTCACTCAACATAAATAACGGTAACGACGGCAACAACAATGCCATAATGAAGTAAAACTAGCAGAACAAAACAAAATAATACGGATTGAGAGAATGTAAAAGGGAAAGAGTTTCAAGAATGAGAAAGCAAAAGAGTAAGTTCGTCATTGTAAAGGGCTGCCAAATTATATGTTTTGAAATAATGCCTATATATTCATTTGAAACGGGACCAGAGAACTATTCTATGGTGAGTAAAAAAAATGGAGCAAAGTCAAAAAACATAATTTTTACATTTTTTTTTTAATTTTATTGATTTAAAGCAAAAAAATTCGGAAATAGCATTAAATTTTAAAATAAGTTTAAATTCGTTCGAATTGGTCACCTTTGGCACGAATTATGGCCTTCACGTCCAATGAAACCGTCACATGCTGTCCGAATGTTGCTCTCCGGTATTTTAGCCCATACCCGGCGAAGCGCTTGCTTGTGGTGATCGACACTTTGGTATTTTTAGTGATATCCTTGCTTTCCAAAATACTTCAGACACAATAGTCCAACGGATTGATATCCGGAGATTTTGGTGCCATCGTGCGTAGTTTCATCTTTAATACACCCTCCAAAATATTTTCGCGATAATATTCGGCATTTATTCTGATGCCACGGTCGATTAATACGATCGGAGAGCGACCATCGGCTGTTATGGCGGCCCACACAATAACCATTGCTGGCGCTTGAGTTCTGGTGACCATCCAAAGGTGCACATTTTCAAGTAAACACGATCATTTTGTTTGATTATTTGGACAACGAATTTTTTCTCATTGGAGAAAACCCAATTCGGCAGTTCACCACATTTGGCCAAGCGAAGCAACTCTTTAGCTCTTTTGGCTCTATTTTCTTCCAGTTGCGGTGTAATGTCTTGCACTTTTTGGAATTTCAATGGCTTTATCCCGAGCTTATTTTTCAATATTTGCCGAATGGAATATTGTGATATGTTCTGCTCACGAGCCATTTCTCGGCCACTGCGACGCGGGTTTCGATCAAGCCGCTTCTTTACTTTTTAAATCATTTCTGCTGATTTTGTTTTCTTCCGTCCACTTCCTTGACGTCGGGCTACGCTACCAGTACCACTGTAATGAGCGATGGTACGAGACACAAAAGTTTTATTCACATTTAAATGCTGGAATGGTCTAACGATAGCCACTTGTGGTTTTCCAAACATAAAGAAATCACACTATCACGCTTGAATTCCATCACGAATAACTTTTTTTCTGGAAAATTCACACCAAAATGCTTTTTTACGCTTGTAAACAATATAATGAGCTGTGTCTGGAATAATTTTAACAGCTGTCTGAAGTTGGTTGCAGTTATTGCAAGTGAAAACTATTCCAAGTGGATTTTGTAGTACTTTTTATGTAGATCAAAACCCGAAAAGAGTTTCGGGTTTCGGTCACACTTTTTTGGTAAGTATTGTTTACGTTCTTTTTAATTTCGCCAAAAATTTTAAATTTTGGTGTTCTAAGTTATTATTTTGTAAAAACACTAAGTATTTTAGACGAAAAGTACAAAAACTATTCTCTTATTATACCCTAAGTCTTATGGCTTCAGAGGTTACATGTCCATTGATATGTACAAAATGCGTGTTATTTAAATTAGTTTCAAAACATTTGGAAACGATAGTTAACGAAGGAAGTATCCGATTAGTTAAAACGTGGTACATTCTAACATTTTTAGACAAAATTTATGTCAAGGTCAAGTTTAAAACGTTGAAAATCAAGCAAAAAATATCAGGCGATTTGTCGACAGATGTATACCCTCAGCCATCAAGTACTTCCTTCACTTTGTGTGCAAAATATGCAAAGTTTAAGAAAAATCGAACAATTATTTCCAAATTTTATTTATTCAATTTATTCAAATAATTGTTAATCAAAATGCTAATCTCTTGTGGTATAGGTCCAAGAAGAAGTTAACCGACATATCCCATAATTACAATCGATCTTTGGTTGATAGAAATATTGAGATACACGAAGTTTGAAGAAAATCGCAGACTTTTCCGCACCTATAAGGTTTACGATTATTCAAAATGTTGACCCCTCGTGCTAAAGGTACCAGAAGGAATAATCCGATAACTTCCATATTCACATCAGATCTGGTTGAGAGAATTATTTAGATATACCAAGATTAAAAAAAATGAAACCTTCTAAATTTCAAATGAAACTTAAATTACAATGGGTTATCTGAATTTCAAAATAAATTTTTGAATTTAAATTGAAAAGGTTCGAATTTCAAGTAATATGTTTGAATTTCATTACATTTGGAAATGTGTGAATCCTCTATTAAAAATTTTGCTTCTTACAATTTTCTTTGAGTTTCATTGCATTCGGAAAATGTGTGAATTGTCTATTAAAATTTTTGTTCCTTTACAATTTTGTGAAAAAAACGAGCAAAATTGTCAACTATTTTGCGACACACCCTGTACCATAACAAATAAATAAATAAACAAGTATACGCCGCAGGGCACAACATAATAAATCATAGAAAACTTGGCGAATGCATATTGCACTGCTATTTTGCATTTCAATCCCACCACCACCCGCTCAACTACTTACCCATGTTTCTCTTTTAACGAATATTGCGATCAAAACAACCTTTAAAAACAATGACGTCCGAATTGAGTACTGGCAGCGAACACCTTCAACACAATTTTGATTATATTATTTAATTTTGTTTTCGTTTGTATATTCGTCGCTTTGCACGTTTTTACTTGAAAACAATCTCACACACACGCACACACGTTACAACGAGCTTTATCTGATTTTTTTCTTTTATTTTGACCAACTTCTTTCTTCAACGCGCATCAACTAAAACAAATTGAAACATTCCCTCCTTTTTCCTGGATGTTCAAGAACACACACGAACGTACAACGCACACAAGCTCTACATATATATTTGTATATATAGCAGTTTGGTATATACATATAGCCAAAGTAGGAGACACTCTTTTTCAGGGCGGAGGCCAATAGAATTTTTCTTCGAAATCTTTATTCACACAAACATTTCCTGCTTTCCATTCAATCCGATGGGCACAATAATTTTCTTATTAGCCACACTAAATTGTTGTTATACTAACAGCTTGCTTGTGGCATCCGTTCAATTACCTATCTTCACTTGACTTTTGTTGACAATTTCACTGTGTTGATTTTGTTCTTGTATCGCGTCAAATGCTATTTATAAATAAAAATTCCGGGGGACTATTTATAAATGCATTAAATTGAGATGAGAGCAAATAAAATTTATGGCAGACTGAATATTTTGCAAACTTCTTTTTTCCAGCACTATTAGATTTTTAGTATAAACAGCGGTTCGCACACTTTTGATCTCCGACGCGCACTTCCTTGTTGAGATGACTGAAATACAGGATAAAAGGATAAGGCTATGATGGTTGTTGATGAGTTTGTTTGTCTCCCAATTAGATGTCAAAGTTGGAAGTTGGAAAACGAATCATATGTTTAGTGAGAGTCCAATAGGAGAAGTAACTAAAAGAGAGCGAGAGTGTAAATACAAATAAATCAGAGAAGTGCTTAATGAACACAGCTGTAAATCCAACCGGATAGTGAAACGTAAACAAAACGTAAGATAGTAAAGTGACGTATGTAGCAACAAACTTCATTTTTAATAAAATATTGCTACAAATCATCGCAAGACTACGGAAAAAATGGCGGATCACTTAATAAAACGGGAATTTTTTTTATAAAAAGATAAACCATAGTTTATATTATCAGATTTATTCCTTTTTTAAAATAAAATTTATCACCTTTTTACAAATTAAAATTTATGAGCTTAACTTTTCTTAATTTCTGTGCGTGAAGCATGGTCATTTCAAAATAGCATACCCATCTCTGCATTTTCTTTAATTTACTTTGTCACATTTCTCTACATAAAAACAGGTTCCCATCACTGATTTGTGTATGTACAATGGATTTATAAATACAAATTTTGACAATGAGATGTTGTCAAATGAATAATCTTTTTTTAAAAAAAATGTAAACATATGTTTGCATGACTTTACCTCCTTGATTCTAGCATGGCGTGAAGATGCATAAGAGGATTTCTCTTTATGACATAACGGCATCCGGCTGGCTTTTTCATAAAAGAAAGACTTTAGAGCAGTAATTTAAATTCATGGACCGAAATTAATCCTAAACCCCTTTTTTCGAAAAATTGTGTTGTGCTGCATTTTGGTTGATAAAACCACATAAAGAATTAATTTTTAAAAGTTGCTCTGAAAGGACTATTTTACCTGGAAAGTTCGAGAAAGATAAACTAATACAAATATGAAAACTAGATGGCAATTCTTTAAATTTAATATCACCTCATCTAAAAAATCCAATATGTGGGGGCAATACCAAAACCTGGAATCTCCTGTCATAGCCTGTAGCATCCATTAAGAACACCAAATACCAAATTTTAAAGAATTTCGGTGAATAATGGCGCCAAAATCATCAAAATACCGAATATCGGGAGGTGCCGTTATATGAGGGCTATACATAGACGTAGACCTGCACAGACAATTTCCTGTCTTACGCTGTAGAATGAATTACGAACTTCAAATACCAAATTTGAAACAATTTCGGTGAATAATGTCGCCAAAATCATTAAAATGCCGAATATCGGGAGGTATTGTTATATGGGGGCTATACGTAGACTTATACCCAGACAATTTCCTGTCTTACGCTGTAGAATATATTACGAACTTCAAATACCAAAGTAAACAATTCCGATTAATAATGTCGCTAAAATCATCAAAATACTAAGTATCGATTTTCTCTCATAGGCTGTGGTATCCATTACGAACTTCCAATACCAAATTTGAAACATTTCTGGTGAATAATATCGAAAATAGGGAGGCACCATTATATGGAAGCTATACCAAAACGTGGACCTACATGCCCCATTTTCAATACCAAAAGTCCTGTAGGTATAATATACACTTGAGTAAAATTTTATCAACCTACTTTATTTCGTTTGGAAGCTAAAGTGATTTCCACAGACGGACGGACATTTCTAAATCGACATAGAGTTTTATGCTGATCAAGAATATATATCCTTTGTGGGGTCTAAAATGTATTTTAATATACCCTTCATGCTATAGTACAGAAATTCAAAAAAAAAAATCTTGCATGTACTGAAACAAGGCTTTTACCATAATGGGGAAGTTGAATGTTTGTGTACGCTACGTCGAATGTTAGCAAATTCTGCTAAAGTGAAATTTCCTCCCTTTTACTATTCACCGGATTAATGGGATGATTGTCTTTTTGATCACTCGTTAAAATCAGCAGATTTCCACCAATTATAATAGATATAATAACTGTAAATTGATAGTTTATACAAACTCCAAATCCACTCGATTTAAAATGTCAATTTCATTTCGTATACGTCAAATATGTGCCAAGATTAACACCTCATTTTTTCAATTATTTTGTCGATATTTGACGCCCTGAAATTGACAATTGAAATCAACCTGATTTAGTAAGTGCAAATTAACGCTTGGGAACATCGATATGTCAAAAGTTCTAAAATTGTTTTTTTTTCAGAAACAAGTCGATTTTTATATGATGTCTTATATGACGGCAATTGGAGGTTCCTATGAGATGCATTTATCAACAATTTTAACGAATTTGAATAATTTTTCATTTTAAATTGATTTGAAAGTTCATTGGTCCAGCAGATATGTCAACGCGATTACCTGTATTTTTCTACCATGAAGTTTAACTTTCACTCTGAATCGTGTAAACGGCTCTGATATTACACGACCTATTCAGTAGATCTTGATGTAAAATATTGTTACAAAACATATTCCAATGTGAGAACCCCCTTTATAACAAAAAACGAACATCAAACTAATTGACACCTCAAATAATTGCCGCTGACATGCAAACAGGTAACGGCGTCTGGATCGCAAAACACATCAAAACATAGTCGACTTCGTTCTCTGCCTAGTGGTAAAAATATTAAAATTACAATAAAAAAATCAAAAAAATCATCCCAATAAGAAAAAAGAATTAATATTAATTACTTGTCGATGTGTGACGTCAAAGAAATATAAGAAATATACAAACAATAAGAAAGTGTATTTATGTGTGTTTATGATAAATAGAAGAAATTGTGAACAGAATTGAAAACAGAAAACTGGACACGCAACCACCAACAGACAAATTGTCGAATGGCTGGATTTTAGGTGAATTGTGTTTCGACGACGGCGACGAAGGGAAAGATGTTGATGACGGTCGTTTATTGAGGAGGTGGTAGGTGGTGGAGCAGCCAGACAGACCGATAAATTGTTGATAGAAGAGTAGAGGGTCAGCTGAGACGGAACGACAGACATCAGCAGGGTGAGAATTAGAAGGAAGACCTTGAAAATCAAAAACTCGCATAAACAACGAAACGAATAGAACACAATAGAAACGAATTAAAAAAAGAAAGCGAAGAAGAAATCAGTTTAAACAAAATAGAGTAAGGCGACGACGACGACGAAAACAACATAAAAATCATCGTAGCAGCAGCGACAGCAACAACATCTATGAAAAAATACGAATAAAAGCGATAAGAAGGTAGAAGAGAAACAAATAAATACACAATATTTATTTAAATTTCCATGACGAAAGCGGAGGGATGAACATAGTTGATGATAAAATTCAGTACGCATAAACAAAACAGAAATTGGAAGTAGAGACAAAACGAAATTCGAAGAAAAACATCACCTCCGCTGCCGACGACCGCCTCTTCTCTAAAGTCTTGCCGAAGCTTTGGTGGCCGAGAGCTGCTGGTGCGCGAGCAAGCAACAGTGAAAACAACAAAATAATTTCTATTGCTCCAAGTAGAATGGACATTATGCCATCCCAATCGATTGTGCATCATCCCTTTAATATAGTAGTCAATACTGCCATGGCCAATTCGTCCGACAACTCCACACCCACTTCGCCAGTGACACCAACCATTATTTCGCCCACAGCAACAGTCGATACGAATTCCTCTACAACCATAAATGGACGCGAGGCCCGTAATTTGGCCGAAAAACAACGTCGCGACAAACTGAATGCCAGCATAAATGAATTGGCAAAAATGGTGCCACATGTGGCCGATTGTCCACGACGTCTAGATAAAACTGCAGTATTACGATTTGCCACCCATGGCCTAAGACTGCAGTATGTATTTGGAAAGGCGGCTGCTGCTCGCAAGCGAACCCTATTTAAGGGTGATAATCACAATGTAACCGATGCCCTGTTGCAGCTAATCGATAGCTTCTTCATAACGCTCACCTGTCACGGACAAATAGTATTGATTTCTTCAAGTGTTGAACAACTATTGGGTCATTGTCAGTCCGATTTGTATGGACAAAATTTATTGCAAATTACCCATCCTGAAGATCACGAGCTGTTGAGGCAACAACTCATTCCCAATGATATTGAGTCCTTATTTATGGATTATCATCATCACCACCACCATCAAAGTACAGCTGCGCAATCTCAAATAAATAAACCACATTATCACCAGCAATGTTCCTATACAACACATCACCACCATGGCCATCATGCACCTGCACCGAATTCACCTCACCAACATCATGCGCATACGCAGTATACCACGCCAACGCATGCGCAACAGAATGATATACAAAACGATGAGAATTATTTAAAGCAAATAGATGAGAAGTTACGATTAGATAAGAGAAGTTTTACAGTGCGTCTTGCGCGAGCCTCAACACGTTCCGAGTCGAAAAAAGTTTATGAGTGTGTTAAAATCGATGGCTGCTTCCGGCGCAGTGATTACTCGGCCATAGCAACAGGTGCCAGTAGTTATCCTATTGTTTCGCAATTAATACGGCGTTCACGAAGTGCTGCTTCTTCGGCGCATATGAGTGCTGGTGGTGCCAGCGGTGCTGGGGGAACTATGGGTGGTGCAGCTACATTCATACCACATCTTTTGCCACATGATGCCATAGCGCAGGCCGCCCTACACGGTGTCAGCGGTAATGATATTGTTTTGGTAGCAATGGCCCGAATTATACGTCCAGCGAAAATTATCAATTATCCATTGGAGGCAAATCGTTTGGAATATAAAACACGACATTTAATCGATGGACGTATTATTGATTGTGATCATCGTATTGGTTTGGTAGCTGGCTATTTACAAGAAGAGGTAAGGGTTAATCTAATAAGCTGAATATATTGTGTAAATAGCTTTTTTGTAGAGTAATAAAAATGCCAAATGCTGTTTTCACACAAACCAGGGACATAACATTTCTACGAAAGAGATCTATGATGAGGGTGATAATTCCTATTTCATATCGTTTCGTTTGTTTCTAAATTTTCTTTTAACGTGGGTTTTGCGAAAGAGCTCAATATTTGACAAAGAACATTTCCAGTGAATTAAAAAAAAAACAGTTTATGACTGCAACGAACAAGAGGGAAGTCATATTTATTATTTCTATTATCCTACACGATGTGTAAGGTAATAAAAAAAACATGTTTGCTTAACATTTAAAAGAGAAACATTAAATGTTCCCAAAACAAAAAAAGGAAACTGTTACTAACCAAAATCTTTGAAGAACAAACGATGTTTGTTGCATTCCACAACTGCACCGGGTTTAAAAAAAAGATTATCAATCAAAGAATTTTTCAATTTTCAAAGAATTCTCGACACCGATTGAGACATCTCCAAATGTTGCGCTGTTACCATAAACAGGAGGAGGTTGATGATTGATAGTCCAACGTATATTCCACGAACTTATATAAGGTGTGTCTGGTTACTTTTCCTGCAGGAATTGTCCAGCAACATCTTTCTGAGAGAGTAAGGTAGTTTTATTCTCTTTTGCAAGGAAATTGCGAAAAGTAAACAGACGGTATTCCTGCAGATGCTTGCAACTAATCAGCTGATTTGTCAAAACAAACCAATTTGTCCCCCATAAGGAGAATTAAAACAAAGGAAGCAATACTAATTTTACAAGTTTATTAAATAAAAATGTTGGAAATAGTCTTTTATTTTCTTATTACATATTAAAATTTACGTTTTTCACATTAGTCTATTAGTCTTGCTAATTCCAAAACAATATTTTCAAATTAAAATCCCAAAAAGAAATAAATAAACAATAGAAAACATCTGATTGAATGTCGATGAATGAGAAGAAGAAGAGTTGCAAGAGATTGCAAGAAGAATTTTTTCCAGCAAGAATTTGCAAACTCTCACTGAAAGAACTGTCAAAATTTCTCTCTCCAACCGCTCTCTTTTGCAGAACTTTTGGGTTAACAGACGACTTCCAGAAACAATTTGTAACAATTGTTACAAACTTTAGGGTAACCAGACACACCTATAATTTTAATATTAAACCGTTATTTTTGTAATTTGTAACTGCAATTGGATATAAAGGGTAGTCAGCTAGGTCTAGGGCTGGTCCTGAAATTGCATAAAAGATAAATCTACAGCTAGCACGGAATACATGGATATATCTTGTAAAATACCAAAATGACATTTTAAAATATACTTTGTATGAAAGAAGTCAAATTTTTATGAGGGCAGGATGCAGTCCATTGCGTTATATCACCTATTTTGCATTAGGACATTGATATGCATAAAAAGGCATTCACTGGAATGTTTTATAAATTGGACTATGATACAAAACATAAACTCTCCATCAAAGCATTTTAAATACAACAGCGTCATTTTTTTTAAATTGCTTTTATGTCTGCATATTATTATTTTTTTTTTTTCATAATAATAAAGTAATTTAGCCCGGTCGGGCCAAATGTTTAGTACTCTCCACCATGTGATAAAGAAAATATTTATAAATAAAACTACATAGATTTAATATTCAAACGAGTTCCATTTAAAAAGGCAAAGGTCCGCAAAATCTGTTTGAGAAGTATCAAAGTGGGCGTTACCGTTTTTTTGAATGCTATATCAATAAGTGAATCTATATGGACGATTGTTCTGCTACAGGGCTTGTTATAGATTGTGAGTTTCAAATGTCAAACTGGAATCCTGCGGCCATATACCTCATTTTGAATGCCAACCACCCCAAATACAATTCAGAGCTTTTCTCTATGTCACATAATTTGGGATGTATTTTGTCTGTCTGTTGAAATAGACAATCAGGCCGACAGTCATAAAGATAATTAAACTTAAAATTTTAGGCTGATTAAAAATATCACTAATATTTAAAAGTGTTACAAACGGACTGACGAATTCGTTCTATGTGGTACACTTATTTAACTGGTTCATTTGCACGAGTTCTGGTGAGTTCACGAGTAATTCAATCTTTTCTTTAAAATTTTAACCAATTCCTTGAATGTTAAACACGCTTCTGAGAAGAGCAATTTTTGGCAAAAGTTGTGTCATTATTATGTCTAGTATTTGAGCAAATGTTTGCTGATGATACCATGTTAAGGATCAGGAAATAATTCATTCATAACGGACACTCCTTTTTATAAAGAAATAATCAGATGTAATCTTTTTCAAAGTATTTTCCAACCAGCAAAATACCGACAAATTACGTATAAAAAATTAACTTACGCCTTCTAGAATCGTCAATTTGGGTACTGTTTCACATGGAACAACGCTAAATTGTTATCATCCTGTAATGACATTTCTATCTGACCTAATTCCTTTGTTCGCCAATATACAGTTCTGTTCAGGTTTTGGCCAAAAATCTAATCAAACCCACATTCAGTAACAATAGGTTCCCGGAATACCCAGCAAAATAAAATTATATTAGTTCAGAATGAAGTAGTACTTTTTCTGACATGACATGCTGCTCTCCATGTTTCAAATTCTGATTTCAATTTAAATTCTTAGTAGCATTACCAATTGCTAGGAAAATGCTTTTAATTTTTTGCATTTCGAAAAAATAAATTCTAATGAACCATTTCCTGCAGCATCAAACATTTCTAACATTTCAATGAATGTTTTGTAAAGATCAATATCACAACAAATGAAGTCAGAAACAAGTTGAATTCCTGATTCAACCACTTTTTTGAATTAAACATTTTGTTGGAACTGACTTTGAAAGGACTCGCAAACATTGCTTGTAGAGTGTTTTTGAGAAATCTATTATCTTCTACGATTTTAGAGCCAGTTTGGTAGAATATGAACTTTATGTTTTCAGGAAGATTAGTAGGTATGGCCAAAAAAAACAAAACTTCAACAGAATGGCAGTTATTTGGGGCAATTCGCTAAGATAAGTTTTGGCTTATCCATCGGAAGACTACAGCAAAGAAATGGTTTATAGATTAATTGCAATCTAGAGCGTTCCTGTCTCATAAATCTCCTGGACTTGATGACATCTACACAGATGTGGTGCAAAATATAGTGGATAAGCTGGTCCTTTTAGTGTATATTCCTGCTCTGTAAAGAGAATTGCTAGCCCAAATACCATCAAACCCAAATACCTTCAAACATTTGGGTAGGAAAATGCTTTTAATTTTTTGCATTTCGAAAAAATAAATTCTAATGAACCATTTCCTGCAGCATCAAACATTTCTAACATTTCAATGAATGTTTTGTAAAGATCAATATCACAACAAATGAAGTCAGAAACAAGTTGAATTCCTGATTCAACCACTTTTTTGAATTAAACATTTTGTTGGAACTGACTTTGAAAGGACTCGCAAACATTGCTTGTAGAGTGTTTTTGAGAAATCTATTATCTTCTACGATTTTAGAGCCAGTTTGGTAGAATATGAACTTTATGTTTTCAGGAAGATTAGTAGGTATGGCCAAAAAAAACAAAACTTCAACAGAATGGCAGTTATTTGGGGCAATTCGCTAAGATAAGTTTTGGCTTATCCATCGGAAGACTACAGCAAAGAAATGGTTTATAGATTAATTGCAATCTAGAGCGTTCCTGTCTCATAAATCTCCTGGACTTGATGACATCTACACAGATGTGGTGCAAAATATAGTGGATAAGCTGGTCCTTTTAGTGTATATTCCTGCTCTGTAAAGAGAATTGCTAGAGGAAAATTTTGTCACTCTCACTAGAAAGGCTTTAGACCTTGCCAGAGTTTATCAAAAAGCGGATTGACATAACCCATATTCTAAACCAATATTTCTTAAAGTAACCCAAATACCTTCAAACATTTGGAGTTCCTCTAAGTAAGCTTAGGGCATATAAATGCCCTAATAAGTTTGGACAAAAGTTTTTTGAGAATTTGTCTCTACACACGGAATACTATATATAATTGGTAAACTATTTCCCGGACTCATGACATATCTGCTACGCAAAGATCTCTGATGTTTCTTAAAAAAAAAACAATTAATTTATCTAGAAGATGTAAATTTCATAGAATTACACTGTATTATAGCATGCGGATATAACTCTGAACCAGATTTCCAGTCAATCAATGAACTTCACGCAATATAATAATAACTGTTATCTTCTTAAAATATGATTGGTATTTTTAAAATATATTATCCAAGTTACATTTTTTTCTGAAATTAACAGGTGTAAATGACCTATAAATTCGGCGTTTATTATCCGAGGCTCGTGTATGGAATCAAAATACTTGCAAATTAATTTGTGATTGTCTAATGACAGCATAAATAACTTATTAGTCATTTTCTAGCACAAGGCTATAAATCTCCAATTAAATTTCTAATTAGAAAACAAAAAACGAGTAGGTTTTGAAAATACCCGGTGCTCTCTAACATGGTACAATGAAGAGAAGGTAGGTCAACTTTGAAAAAATTGCAAGTACAGAGGTCTACCTGTTTGGCTTGTAATGTCAAAATTAGTATCAAAACAATAAAAAATCAAACAACTTGTTGCATTTATTTTGAATAAATAATTGAAAACCGCGATAACTGAATGAAAGGTCAACACTTATTTTCAAAATCATGTACTATATATCTCTAAAGGATTATTTCGCTACAAAAACTCTAGATTTTGTCGATGCATACGTTGAAATAAACATTTTGAAAACATCATAGCCCTACCTTGATATCATTGTACCATGCTCTCTAATACGTTTTGAAGTTTTTGTTTTGTACTCCTTTTAAACCGGCATTTAAATAAAGGCACATCTGTTTTTTCATTAGTAGACTTACACCGTTGTAGACATAATTTCATCCCAGGAAAATGTCCAAAAATTAAATTTTATAATTAAAAATTAAATTACTATTATTTTTCTGTTCTCCTGACAAAACATACTCAAAATAGTCCTTATGGACTCAAAAGCATTTTCAGCTATTCACATAGCTGCAAAAGTACATTTCTATTTTAATTTCAACACTAAAATAGAACCCCTTTGATGATTTATTCAAAATCAAACAACAAACACACGTAGGCATCGTAATAATTAAATATGTAAATACAAATTTGCAAATTTATTTGTAGAACAAACGTAACATGAGAAACAAATTCAAAATTATTCTTCCAAACAAAGTTCAGTTCAAATGCAACAAAAGAAATAATACAGTTTTTAAAAAAAGTAAAACAAAATTAAACTCAGAAGATAAGCAATATGTATATATGTATGCTTTGTACAAGCCTACTAATAGATAATAATATAATATGAAATTTCTTTATGAGACCTTACCCAAGTACAAAGCACTTCACCCCAGTTTTCCGTCATGATCTTAGTTATCAAAACAAAAAAGGAAAAGAAAGAAAAAAAAATAGCACTGGCAGGTATAAAATGCAAAAATTAATTATTGTTTTTGAGAGTTTGTGTATGTGTCGTCTGCCTTCTAAATGGCAACAAAATTGATAATGAATCGCAATTTGGCCACTAATTTTTCAGTGACGATTTATAATTTATTTTTAGATTTCTCGAATAAAAAACAAAAAATGTCGCTTTTTGGGGGAAATATTTTAGGCAGATACGCTAGAAATGCCAAAAATGCAGTAAACAACCACAATCACTTGAGCAAATGGTCGGTCTTCTGCTAACGACATATTAGTGTGATGTGCAATGGTAAAGAAGTGACCCATGCGTTGCAAAGCGATCCAAAATTACCCAATGTAGGAAAATTCCTACTGAGATTTATGTGCTGCGTTAAGTAATCTATTCAATATTTTTAATATAAATTCCTGATTATTTGCTTTGTTTTAGGCCAGGCTAGAAATATATTCCTTTAAGAATATTAGTTTCTTAACACTGCAATACCGGGGATGGTTCTGTCAACATGAAAATAAATCATACGATGCCATAGGGGCATAGTAAGAATCAGTTTTTGCTCAACTTTTAAGGCGATGTGTTTCGAATAGAAAGAACCTGTCGTACTACAACACTATGTGTTGGGGGTATTATAAGTTTGATTGGGCCAAAAATTTTGTAACACATCGAAATATTGGTTTCCCATGGATCTTCCTATCTCGCCGAGCTGAGTCGATCTAGCTATGTATATCCGTCCGTCTGTCCATGTTAATTTGTAATCATTCTACAGGTCGCAATTATGGCCCGAGCGAAAATTTTCCTGATTTTGCAGCTGCTCTACAGGCTACAATTATAGACCAATCGAAGCGAAAGTTAGAGCTTAGGGCTGGGAAGTAGCCTTCCAATTTTGATGGTCATCGGGTAATATTTAGTGGATGAAATAGACCATAACATTTGTGTTAAATAAAAGTCAAATTTGCCATTAAACCGCGAATATACAGCACATGTTGGGGTTATTATATACAGATTGCAATTATCTTCCGATCCTCACGAAAATTTTCACAAGGGTAGGGTTAGGCTCAGAAGGGCTAGGCCTATTGTTTTCAAAGTTGTCCGCAATATATTTAGGGGTTGAAATGGACCAACAACTGAAAATGTTCCTGATTTTGCAGCCGTTATAAAGGTCACAAATAGAAACCAAAGGACACGAAATCTCGCATGAAGTTAGAGTTTAGGACAGCGGGAAAAATGGACCACTACTTTTGTGTGTCAAAAAATAACAGCATTACCCGCAAAATATTTAGCTGTTCAAATGAACCAAAAACAAAAAAACATTTCCTGATCACACAATTCAAGCCAATCGACACGCCTGAGAAGACAAGGAAGAATTCTAGCTTTTTGGATGACCATTGGACAATATTTAGCTGTAAAATGGAACACAACAACTTACAGCATTACGGAGTGCGTAAATATTGGGCAAATGTCCCTGGTCAAAATGCTAAGGGTAATATCTGGACAGTGCTCCACGTCATAATTTCAAAAGCGAAATCTTCCAAAATGGTTCTGGACATAAGGGGGGCTTTTAACATATTGTAGTGTTGTAGAGTATTACATGGTCGGCCCAGCACGTCTATAGCCTTTGCTTACTTGTTTTATAGATAGCTTTTAAGACAAATCTGTAATCCCGCCAAATTTTGACTTTGAAGGAGAGTGCATTGATTGGCATAGGTCAGAATGTATTTATTAAGTGGTAGTATATTCTTCGGTATTCAAACGGTTTAACGTTGAAAATCAATCAACTATCAACATAATGTTTAATTCCTACATTATTTTGTGTGAAAGAAGTCATGATTTTTAAAATTTAGGAAGAGGTTCGTGTCTTTTGTACTGCTCCTTGGAAGAGTAAACAAACATTCATTGAAGTTTATAAAAATGTTTGTTGCTGAAGAAAGGGGTTCCTTCGCATTTATTTTTCCGAAATACAAAAGTAATTAAAAAAAACATTTTCCTGGTAATTCTGTACTTCTACTATTATAAGTATGGCGTTCGCTGAATAATCTTTTTCCTTTTTTTTGAAAATCGAATGTAGCTTCGACTTATGCCACGTAGCGCCATCCAGTTGAAATCAAATGTTGCCAATATCCTCCTCTTCAATTTTTGTGATTCAGAAATATCAGATGCTTCCATGACTTGATCAGAACTCATGCAAATGGGCCAGTTAAATTATCGTATCTCAAAGAAGCAATTTCATTTAATTTAGTTCGGTTTGAACTAACTATATTTAAGACAAATTTGGTATTCAAAGTTTTAAGCCTATTTTGATGTAAATGTCTCGTCCGGAACATACATATCATACAATAGCATTGATATTATATTCTCCATCTAAGTCTCTAATCTGAACGGACATTTTTAACAAATGTGAAATTTCATTGTCATTGTAAATTGACATGTGCGCAGACTAACAAAAAATTGACTACCATTTTTAGAATGACGTACTTTTTTAACGCACATTTGTCGCTTTGATATTATCTTTATTTTTATTTTATATATCTTCGTCGGCATTCTTAGTTATTCCTTTTTTTTAAACAATTCCGTACGACAAATATTATTTTTTAGCCATTTCTTCGAATTAATTTTCTATTGGAATTCAAGTTAAGCAGAAAAAAAGAAGATGGAAGCCATTGAACTCATTTATTTTCGCAAATTTAATCAAAAGATGTCTACACTTTTTTGCGAAGGAAGATAAATAGAGAGAGAAATTACCATTCCTTACTCCTCCTCTACCGACGTTTTGGACAATTTCAATAGCGACAAATAACGAATTTTAGTAGGAGAATTATGTATATGTTAATCGTCAGCAATATTCATTATTTTAGCTGCTGAAAAAATGAGTGCATTTGCTAGAACGTTTGTTTTGAAGAGGATTGTTTTTTTATTTTCGTATAGCTGTGTTTTGTGTTATAACTGGTTTAGGTTTAAAACAACGATACGTCACTCTAAAGTCTCGTTAAATTTTTTATGATCTAGTCAATTTTTAAAGCCAATTATTTGGCTTATTGTGTTGAGGAATTGGTAAACAGCAAAAAAAAAATAATAATAATTGTTCTGTTTTATTTTTATTCTTTTTGCAAAATGCAGTTGTTTAATAGGCCAGAGATTGAAAGTTGGACTCGATTCTAAAGAGCAAGAATTTGTTTTGAATGTGTTGCTTTAAAAGTCATATTTGTTGAGTTTATTTTTGGAAAATAACCTAAAATTTAATTATTCTAGTATCTCAAAGCTTTTGCTTTGTTTGGAACCAGACGAGTTCGGCTTCGCAGATTCTGAAAATATAATCTAGATCCCTTATTAACTTTTTTGTTTTACTTTCTTTTAGGTTCGCAATTTGAGTCCCTTTTCGTTTATGCATCAGGATGATGTACGTTGGGTAATTGTGGCCCTACGTCAAATGTACGACTGCAACAGTGATACCGGTGAAAGTTTCTATCGTTTACTTTCACGAAATGGCAATTTCATTTACCTTCGAACCCGAGGTTATTTAGAAATTGATCGTGCTACTAACAAGGTACATTCATTTGTCTGTGTCAACACTCTGCTGGACGAGGAGGAGGGTCGGAGAAAAGTGCAAGAAATGAAAAATAAATTTTCAATTATTATTAATGCCAAAGTTCCAACGGGAACAGTGCAAGATGCTACCGCCTCACAGAATCCACAACAACTGGAAAAGATCGTTTTATATTTAATTGAAAACCTACAAAAACGACAAACAAATACCTGTGTTGTGGATGAAATTCATTCAGAAGACGATGTTAAGCGGCATACCAGTACACCGCCACTGGCTTTGGTGCCACCCGAACCATCATCGGTGAAAAATTCAATATCAAAATCGGTTAGTGTGGTAATTGCAACGGCAGCGAAAAGTCTAGTCTTGAAATCTAATGCCCAACAACAGAGTCCAAGAGGCAATGAGACCACATCGTCGGCCTCAGAGGATGGTGATCAGGCCAATACATCGACAGAAACAATTGATACTGGTTATGAATCACCCACTACAGCACCTCAGCGTCCCAGTGTTTTACAAATGCGTAGCAACAGTAGTAGTAGCACCAGCAGCAGTATGTGCCAAGATACTAACGCAAGCGAATTAAATATCCCTCACACACCTGAAACTCTTGAAACTGCTCAAACAACAATAACGCAACAAAAACAACAACCTGATAGATATAATTCTCAAACGTCAGTTCTAAAACGTTTGCATTCAACAACAGCCACAACAACAGACCCCGTGGAAATTGATGCCCATCCAGCCACAAAACGACGTCCCTCCAGACTGTCACCATTGTCTCTTATGTCTGAAACAACAATGTCCTCTCCCCAATCAACATCTTGTATTTCTCCTGCCATCAAAAGTGATAATAGTTCCGATATTCACAATTTCATTAACGATTCATTACGCCATGTCGGTGATACATTGAGTCACATTGACGTCCAAACATCAAATTTACTGCAACATCGCAGCGTTACATTGGCCGCAACAGACCTCAACAGCCAATTGGATGCAATTATTGTGGAACAACAAAAACAAAATGACTTTTTAGTAAACATCAAAAACGAGTATGTCTATAAAAAACAATTTGTAAAATCATCGCCCAATCGAACAGAAGAAGATGTTTCTTCGCCTGAAAATTGTTAGTTATACAAAACAAAAACAACAAAGAAAAAATAATTAATTACTTATTTATAATGATAAAAGGTGTTTTGTATGTAAGTAACTTATTATATACATATTGTTAAAATTTATACATAAATAACTTATATATTTAAAATTCTATGTAAGTTTTGTTTAAATATATATATTTTTTTGATTTCCTTAAAAGCACTGTGCCGTAATGACCCAATAATGGAACGAACTTTTAACAATTCTTCCATCGACATAACTGAGAATTTCTTCTAAATATTTCAGAGGAAATGAAATTTGAAGTTTGAGATATTAATGTGAGAGAGACTTCATTTTCTTTTAAATACACATCGCAAACCTATTCAAAGAGTATCTTAACGCAATATTGTCTATTTTACAGGAAACGCATTTATCTCATTTGGACAAATTATAAACAGATGATAACTCATTTTATATCATCGCCGCAGTTCAAATGCCAAAGTAGTTTCATATCATGAATAATGTGGCATCGACATGTAACATATTATGTAATTGAGAAAATTATGATCCAAGATAAATATGTTCTAGATATCAATATAAAATTTGTACAAAATATGAAATAGAACATGGACTACAATTTTGCATGGATAACAAAGCATGGATAAGCAAAAAACTAAAAAGTTTTGCTTAAAAATACCACTCAAAGTATTCAGGTTATTTTCATTGCAAATTCTAACGGGGTTGTAAGGTACGGTGCATATGTTTTGCAATTTTTTTTATCTATGGATCCATATATAAATTTCATATATTTTTCAACAATAAAATTTATTTAAACTATGTTATGAAATTTATAGTATAATATTAAAAAACATATTTTTCAATTTATATAAAAATTATATTGCAATTCCTTAAATAATATTCATAAGTTTTTTTTCTTTTTTTAACATTGAAATATGGAAATTTTATATATGGGTACAAGAAAATTGATAAATATACATAAATGTTTATAAAACAAAACTTTACGACCAATATCTTAAAGAGAAGATAATTTTGTGTATATCAATTATAAATGTCATTGTTATATCTAAAACAATAATATTACAATATTAATACAAGTTTTATGAGCAATTTCAAAAAGCATTCGAAAATGAAATTGGTTTAAACGGCACTAGAATTCGAAATGTTTAATATGAATTTTAAAAGAGGAAGGGTGTCAAATGAAATTAGAGATTGTGGTTTATGTTGGTTTAAAACTTCAAAAGCAAACACCCAAATGCAACGTTTTAAAATGCTGTACCAATTTTATATTATTTTCGATAGATTGCCATTGCCGATAAAATTTTTAACTCCTATGTTTCCTTTGTCTTCAATAATAATATTGTAAATAGTGATTTTTTTTCTTTATATAGAGCTCGAAACTTGTTATTTTCATATAGAGTATATTTAAAAAAATATTTCTTTTTAAAATGTTTGAGAGTTTAATCTCTTTTTGGGAACTTTGTACAAAATAGTAAATAACAACAAAAATACAAAACAAAAATCCTTAATACTGCCTTTTTTAAAACAAAATAAAAAACTGTTATTTTTTATATTTTAGAGCTTTATGTTTCTAAATCATAATATAAATAAAAAAAAACATGTCTAACAAAATTCAACTCTTATGTTCTATTTTAACATACAACATTGTTAACAATAAATCGTGTATTGTGAATGTATGCCTAGTAAATATTAGTCAAAATTGTCCTTTATACATTTTTTGTTGTTTTTATATTTAAACAAATACTAGTTTTGTTTTTTATATCATTTGTTTTATGTTAAATGATTGTTTGTATATTTCGTAAGCTTACAAATAAAATTAGATTTAGGTATGCATTAATTATATAAACTAGTAAATTTATATGAATAGATTATATAGAATATAATAAATAAATAATGAGTAATAAAATATACTAAAATGGAAAAATTGTGTTTATATTCGAACAAAAAACAAGAACTCAATTCTTATGCTATGTGAACTAAGGGTGCTTTTTGAAAATGAGAAGAAGTACAGGGTGAGATGAAAAAACTGCAACCAACTTCAGACAGCTGTCATTTCTAAGCCATTCGTCCGAAAGCTGTTAAAATTATTCCAGTGTCAGCTCAAGCGTACAAAAGCATTTTGGTGATAGTGTGATTCCTTTATATTTGGCTGGAAAACCACACGTGGATATCGTTAGAGCACTCCAGCATTTAAATGTGAATAAATCTTTTGTGTCTCGTACCATCGCTCGTTACCGTAATACTGGTAGCGTAGTCCGACGTCAAGGAAGTGGACGGAAGAAAATAGCAACATCAGCAGAATTGGTTTGAAAAGTAAAGAAGCGACTTGATCGAAATCCGCGTCGCAGTGAACATATTGCAATATTCCATTCGGCAAATATTGAAAATGAACTCGGGGTAAAGCCATTGAAATTCCAAAAAGTGCAAGAACTTACACCGCAACAGAAAGAAAATAGACTCAAAAGAGCTAAAGAGTTGCTTCGTTTGGCGGAAGTGGTGAACTGCCGAATTTGGTTATCTCCGATGAGAAAACATTCGTTGCCCAGCAGTTTGTAAACAAACAAAGAGGTCAGCTGAAAATGTTCACCTTCGGTTGGGCACTAGAACTCAAGCGCCGGTCATGGTGATGGAGTGGGCCGCCATAACAGCCGATGGTCACTCTCCTCTCGTATAATTTGACCGTGGCAACAGAATTAATGCTTGTTGTAATTTGAATGTAAAACTACCTTTAACACTACTACTTGTAATTGTTATATTATATCTTGTATGCATTGAATTTGTATTCATACGAATTGTAAATTAGAATACACATTTTTTTTCAGTTTTCAATAAAACTTTAAACACAATAGGTTATGGGCCTCTAGACACATTAAAAGAAAATTCAAATTTTGAAAAAATAGTGAAAACTATGGCAAGCAACCAATTATTGTGCCCAATGGAGAAATTGCTGGGCCGCGAGAATTTTGATGTCTGGAAAAGACAAGCAAAATCGTTATTGGTGATAAAAGTTTGCTGGAAAGCTGTAAATGAAGAAATGCCGGATACCGAATTGAATGAAAAAGCCCTGGCAGAAATTACATTGATGATAGATCCGAACAATTATGGTCACATTGCGGCTGCTACAACAGCGAAAGATGCATGGACTGCCTTGATTAATGCATATGAGGATACAGGACTTACACGGAAAGTGGAATTATTGAAACAATTAGTCAACATCAAGATGCAGAATTATAAAACAATTCAGGAGTATGTGAACGACTTGGTCATCATCGCATTAAAGTTAAAGAATGCAGGATTAAACATTGATGATGAGTTGAATGCCTCATTGATGCTAGCTGGACTGACCGATGATTTCAAACCATTAGTTATGGCCGTTGAAAATTCCAAACAGAAGCTAACCGTGGATACGGTGAAAAATCTGTTGCTACAAGATGCGAAATTCGATAACGTTAATAGCAGAGACTCAGCTTTTCAAGCTAAATTTTCAAAGAACAAGAAGCAAATTACGTGCTACAATTGTAAGAAGACTGGTCATATATCCAAGAATTGCCCAAACAGAAACAATGTAAGTAAGAGTGAACACGGCAAGCATGTGAAGAAATCTGAAGTTTTATTTGCCACAATTGATGGAATTTCTTACGCAAAAGCCACGTCCGATATGAGTTCTAATTTAAGCTCTTGGTACATCGATAGTGGTGCAAGTAATCATATGACAAATGATGATAGCAAGATGTATAACAAACGGCATGTAGAAAACAAAAAAGTCATCGTTGCAAATAAGGAAGAACTTCAAGTTGAATGCATTGGCGACATCGATCTGAAAGTTTCTGGTAAAGATGGGGCAAAGAATGTAATTGTCAAGGACGTTGAATTTGTTCCAAATCTTTGTACAAATTTGTTGTCCGTGCGGCAAATTACAAAAGGTGACAAGTCTGTGATATTTGAGGGCGATTCCTGCAAAATTCGAAACAAGCAAGGAAAAGTTATAGCCTTTGCAAAGATGCGCAATGAATTATACAGATTAGAATGTGAATCTGAAAACTCGAAAGATAAAGTATTTGCTGTTTCAGGTAACTTGAATTTGTGGCATCGCAGAATGGGTCATATTTGCCATTCGAAACTCAAAGATGTTAAAGAAGCCAACTTTGGATTAAATTTTTCGGAGAAAGAAGATGGTACATGCACAATCTGTCTACAAGGAAAGCAATGCCGAAAACCTAATGAAGAAGATGGTACACGAGCTACAGAACTTTTGCAAATTATACACACTGATGTTGTTGGTCCGTTGAACCAGTGCTCGTTTTCTGGAACACGTTTCCTTGTAACCTTCATTGATGATTTCTCTAGGAAAGTTGTGGCGTATCCCATAAAAAGTAAGTCTGAAGTGTTTTCAAAATTTGTGGAATTTATGAATATGGCTGAAAACCAGACTGGAAAAAAAATAAAGATTTTCCGATCAGACAATGGTGGAGAATACGTTAATCGCCAATTTGAGAAGTTATGCAAAGAAAAAGGCATTATACATCAGAAGACGTGTCCATGCACCCCGGAGCAAAATGGTGTGGCGGAGCGTATGAACCGCACAATCATTGAAAGGGTCCGTTGTATGCTCATCGATAGTGGTTTAGATAATCGTTTCTGGGCTGAAGCAGCAGTTACTGCAGCATATCTCATAAATCGAGTGCCATGTCGACAACAAAAGAAATGTCCAGAAGAAATATGGAGTGGTCGAAAATCAAATTTAACGCACCTTCGAGTGTTTGGCTGTCCTGCTTTTGCACACATACCGAAAGATAAAAGATCGAAGTTAGATCCGAAGTCAACCGAATGCATAATGGTGGGATATAGTGCCGAAAGCAAGGCATACCGCTTGTTTAGTCCCAAGGATAGCAAGATAATAATCTGTCGTGATGTAACATTTATGGAGAACGGGAAAGTCAACAGAACTGAGCCAAGAAATGAAGACTTTTATTATCCAGAATTATTGCAAAACGAAAGCGCTCATTCAGGGGAGAGAGAATCCTATTATCAAGACAATCTTAATGAATCAACACCTTCCGTAATAGCTAATGATCCAAGTATGCAAAATTCATCTGAAGAAACTCTAACTCCGAATGAAACCCCTGCTGAGGAATCCGATACAGACAGCGTGTATTTAGAAACAGATTGGCCATCAAATAGCGATGAAGTCAGCGCACAAAATCGTGCATGGACTCCTAGCAGAAGCTACAGGCAAGAAAGTGTGGAGGAACCACAAATTCGGAGATCAGAGCGTATTGCAAATCAAAACCAAAATTCGTCATCATTCTGTCAATGGCACAGATCCGTTTCAAATGATCCAACAAGTTATAAAGAAGCAATGTCGTCGGATAATGCTAATAAATGGAAACGTGCAATGGAAGATGAAATTGAATCATTGAAGCTGAATAATACATGGATTTTGACTAAACTACCACCAGGTGAAAAGGCTATAAAATCGAAGTGGGTTTTCAAGACAAAGAGTGATGAAAACGAAAGCCACATTAGATGGAAAGTAAGACTGGTCGCTAAAGGTTTTAGTCAACGAGAGGGTATTGACTATAATGAAACATTTTCGCCAGTAATCAGGTATGACTCTATAAGATATTTAGTTGCATTGGCCGCAAAAGATGGTATGGAAATTCATCAAATGGATGCCGTAAGCGCGTATCTTAACGGAAATCTCAAAGAGGTAATTTATATCGAGCAACCTGAAGGATTTTCCGATGGCACGAAAAAAGTTTGTAAACTGGAAAAGTCAATATACGGTCTCAAGCAATCTGGAAGAGTCTGGAATGAGACGATAAATTCAGAACTTATTAAAATGGGACTTGCACGCAGTGAAGTCGATCAGTGTATATACCACGACTTGAACAATGGGTATAAATTGTATGTCGCAATTTACGTTGATGACGTCCTCATATTCTGCAACAATAGCAAGATTTTGAGAAATATGAAGAAGAAGCTTTCCAAAATATTTAAAATGAAAGATATGGGAGAGGTGTCTACAATACTTGGAATAAAAATAAGTCGAAATCAGGACACTATAAAAATAGATCAAACAAAATATATCAATGATGTCTTATACCGTTTTGGAATGAGCGATTGCAATCCAGTTTCTACTCCGATGGATACTAACCAGAAGTTATCAATGTCAATGAGCCCAAAAAACGAAGAGGAAAGACAGGAAATGTCGAAGGTTCCCTATATGCAAGCTATTGGGTGCTTATTATTTGCAGCACAAGTATCACGTCCTGATATTTCATATGCCGTAAATATGCTAAGTAGATATAGCACTAATCCAGGGAGAGCTCATTGGGAAGCGGCGAAGCGTGTCATGCGATATTTAAAGGGAACAATTGAGAAAGGCCTTGTATACAAACCAAATTTGGATAATACAATTACTGGTTACTGTGATGCCGACTGGGCTGGTAATATTGATGACCGGCAATCAACAACTGGATATATATTTGTATATCAATCCGCAGCA